TATATATCCCAACAAGGTTAAATCAAGATCAAATAAGCAATTTAAACAGACACATAACCTCTAGTGAAACAGAAGCAGTAATTAAAATTCTCAAAACCCCAAAAGGTCCAAAGCCAGACTGATTCAATGCAGAATTCTATCAGCCCTTCAAAGAATAATTAACTCAAATATTCTTTGATTTATCCTACAAATAAAGAAGCTGAAGGGCTATTTCATAATTCTATTAGGCCACTATTACCCTGATACCAAAGTCACTCAAAGACCCAACCAAAACAATTATAGACCAATATCCCTTGTGCCATAGAAGCAAAGATTCTCAATTTTAAAAGTTTCCAAACTGAATCCAAGAACACATCAAAAAGATTATACACCATGGGTTTCATCCCAGGGATGCAGGGATAGTTTAGCATACCTAAATCAATAAGCACAATCCACTACATAAACAGACTGAAAGGTAAAAATATATCATTCTCGTTAGATGCAGAAAATGCCTTGACAAAAATCCAACATCCCTCCATGATAAAAGTCCTGAAGAAACTAGAGATGCCAAGGATATACAAGGAGCATAATAAAGACAATTTACAGCAATCCCGCAGGCAGCATCAATCTAAACAGAGAGAAACACAGAACATTTCCACTAAAAGCAGGAACAAGACAAGGTGTCCACTCTCTCCTTACCTATGCAATATAGTAACTGAAGTCTTAGCTAGAGCAATAAGACAAGTGGGGAGATCAAAGGGATACAAATTGGAAAGGAAGAAGTCAAAGTATCTTGATCAGATTATATGATTTCATATATTTCAGAATCTTAAAAGTTCCACCAGGAAATTTCTACAACTGATAAACTTTCAGCAAAGTAGCAGGCTATAGAGTTAACATAGAAAACTCGATAACCTTCCTTTATACAAATGACAAATTGAGAAAGAAAGCAGAGAAGCAGTATAGTTCATAGCCTCAAAAATATATACATCTTGGGATAATGTTAATGAAACAAGTGAAAGACTTGTATAATAAAAAGTTTAAGACATTGAAGAAAGAAATTGAATATATCACAATACAGAAAGACCTCCCATGTTCATAAATTGGTAAGATTAATATTGTGAAAATGACCATTCTACCAAAATCATTCTACAGATTCAACACAATCTCCATCAAAATTACAGTACAATTCTTCCCAGAAAGTAAACAATTTTCATCTTTATATAGAAACACACAAAAAAAGATAACTAAGACAACCTTGAATAATAAAATAATGTCTGGAGGTATGACAGTGCAGAGCTATAAGTAATACAACAGCATGGTCTTGGGATAAAACCAGACATGCTGATTGATGGACTCAAACTGAAGACCCAAATATAAGTTCATGTACCTATAGATACCTAATTTTTGACAAAGAAACCAAAAAGGCACTCTGAAGGAAAAATGGCATCTTCAACAAATGGTGCTGGTCACACTGAAGGCAGCTGCACGGAGAATGCAAATAAATCCCTATTCATCGCCCTGCACAAAACTTAACTGCAAATGGATCAAAGACCTAAACGTAAGACCAGATCCACTGAATCTGATAGAAAAGAAATTGGGAAATAGGCTTGAACTCATTTGCACAGGGAAGGTCTTTCTGATCAACAACTAATAAATGGGAGCTCGTGAAGCTAAAAATCTCTGTATGGCAAATATTGAACACATCGTTTGAGTAAAGGAGATGCTACAGAAAGAGAAAGGGACTTTAGAGGGTTAATATCCAAAGTATATAAAGAACTAAAAAACAAACCGTGAAGAAAGCAATTTAAAAATGAAGTACAGAACTAAACAGAGAGTCTCAAAAGACAAAACATGAATGGCTAAGAAACACTTAAAGACATGTTCACTGTTCTTTATCTATCAAGTGAATGCAAATTAAAAGTATTTTGAGATTTCATTTTTTACCAGTAAGAATGGCCAATATCAATAAAACAAATGATAGCACAAATAATAAAAACCCAGAGACAGATATCAAGGTTCAACCTGAAGGCCAGAAAAGCAAAGCAGCCAGCCACTAGCTCTTACCTACCTCAGACCGAAAATGGGCAATCCTGCCTCCATGAATCCTGAGACTGAGTATGATACCTGTCTCCTCCCATTTTATATTCCTCTCCAGTGCTGGGATTAAAGGCATGCACCACCACTGCCTGGCCTCTATGGCTAACTAGTGTGGCTTCTGGAATTGAAGGTGTGTGAAACCATTGCCAGGCCTGTATGGTTGACAAGCTTGGCTGCTTTGCACTGATTTCAGGCAAGTTTTATTTATTAAAATACAAATAATATACCACATGTTGGCAAGGGTGTGGAGAAAGGGAAACTCTCATCCATTGCTGGTGGGAGAGCTAACTTGTACAACCACAATGGAGAACAGTGTGTCAGTTCCTCAGGAAGTTGGTCATAGATCAACCTAAAGATCCATCTACACCACTCTTAGGCATATACCTAAAGGATGCTTCATCCTACCACAGCCACTTTTGAGCCTCTCATTCACACCACTGATAAATGGGGGGGGGGGGGTCAGCAGCAGAAAGAGGAGGATCTGCTAATGAATCCAGAAAAGGTCTAAGAGGTCAACTAAGATGTTTGTAAAAACTGATAGTTGAAAGCAAGACCTACTTGCAAATAGAGAACCTTGCACATTTGACTATGCAAATTTCAAAAACGGACCTTCTGCTTGGATAAGATAACTGCTGGGAATGAAACAGACACACTCACCTTGTAAAAACTCCTCCTTGCAAGCAATGGAGTAGAAGAAAAGAATGCTCATTTTCTTGTCTTGTTTTCTTTAAGTCATCCTTCAACCACGAATAGCTAAAACACTGGACTACGAGTGTTCCACAAAGCACAAAGCTTAGTGTTAAAACACCAAAAACATATTGTCCGTCGTGGAAATACCTGACAGACAGGAGAATGTCTGCAACCAAATCAACTACATAGATTATGATGCCAAAAACTGACACGGCAAAGTTGCATTTGGTATATTTCATTATGAATGACTAAGGCTCTTGGTTAGCTACTCTTTTTCAAATACAAAAATAGGGCTAAATACCAGAATGAATATTAGTTTATCCTGCAGCTTAGCACTGAATTAATTTCTACTCTCTGAGTCTACTTAGAGAAAAGAATATGGAGATAGAGTTCAGGGACATAGTGTTTATCTAACACTCATGAAGTCCCATATTCAGTCCCTAATACCAAAACCAAATAAGTATTATGAAATTGGAACACTAAAATGAAAGTAAATAATTTTAACTTTCTTTTAAAAAAAATCTAATTCATATCCAGTGGGACAAGAAGGCTTCGTGGTATCTTCTCTTCTATCGTGATCTTCATGACAGATAACGGTGTCTGAAACAAAACAAAAACATGTTTCTAACTCTTAATGATAAAGCCTGGCCCATGATATTATGATCTTACGTTTCTAAGTAGAGCATATTTGCATGAAATAGACATTTTATAGTTGGAAAGTCAAGTCTCAGAAGTATAGTTACTAGTTGTCATATCATCTGAAGCTGAAGTACTTATCATTTAAAACTAGGTCTTCTCACAAAAATATTTATTATAAGACCATTTATATTGGCAAAAAAAATGCAAACTACCTAAATGTCACCCAATTCCAAATCACACTACAGAGCCATGGTAGCAAAGGCAGCACACTCCTTGCATAAAACACACCTGTATATGAATAGTTCAGACTAGAGGACCCAGAAATAAGCCCACAAGGCCACAGCAGTAAGATTTGAAATTAATAGAATGTAGGAAGAAAAATCAAAGCACAGGCACAGACAAGGACTTTCCGAAAAGGACTCCAAAGCCTCGGGAAATAAGAGCAAGAATTGGCAATAGGACAGAGTAAGACTGAAGCGCATCTTCACAGAGAAGGAAGCACCCTGGACTGAAGACTCAGCTGGAGGAACAGAAAAAAATCTTTGTCACGTATTAGGGGTTAGTACCTAGACTCTATTTAAAAAAAAAAAAAAAACAGAAAAATTAAACATTAAAACAACAAATTATCTAACTAATGGGCAAATAAATTTAATGATATTCAAAAGGATGAATAAAAGTAGTTAATAAACATATTTAAAATGGTCAACATCCATAGCCATTGTGGACACGATCATCAAGACTACATTAGCAGGGCTAGAGAGATAACTCAACCAACATAGTTAGTATTATGATCCCTACTGTATAACTCTTCTGAATGCAGTCTGACAGCAAGACTTATCTGACCCAAGCATTTTTGTTTTGTTTTTCCTAATTGCCAGTAGTTCACCAAAATATATATATTCCAGGTTTCTGTCCACTCAGATTTGAGAATACTGTTTTCTATGAACTGCAACATTTTAATAATATATATGAGGTTTGCTGCTCTTATAGTAGCAATGGCTTAATTATAGAAAACAAAGATTTTGGAACATTTTTCTACCTTCACTCCCTAGCATGTAACTATCAAATTCGTGTCTCTTTGGATTTTGTTGTTTTCTAGTGTTTGATTTTAAAAATTAGTGTTAGAGTTTCACTAAAAACAAACAAAAATAGCTAAGCAGTTTTAGCTTGGGTCCAGGGCAGAAGTACTAAAATGTGACTGAACATATTTCTGCCATTTTGTACTGTGTTGCAAAGTGGGGTTCTCAGCACTGACCATTATAAAATATCTATCAACCCCCAGAACTTGAAGATGCTCTTTATACTGCAGTGCGGATAGTCAGCCAAGCTTGAACTCCATATGTAAAAAGAGACCAGCACGCCCATCTCATCACTACTACAAATTTTTTCATCTTTCATAAAGGGTAAAATTATATGTCTACTAAAAATTATAGTAAAATAAATTTTCCCTATTATTTACTGTTAGTAAATGTTTGACCTGATATTGATTTTTGTTTGCCTAGATTATAAAGCTTCATAAAACATTTCATAAGTCACAAATGGAGAAACTTAAACTTTGTCTTATTGAGTTGTCCGGCAGGTTAGAAAAGATAACCCCTAGGTAAGCCCTTGGCACACAGGACTCAAGAAATGATGGCTATTATTTGTGTGTGCCTGACTGTGTAAGCATCTGTGTTTCCCAACTCTGACTTAATTTTCTTTAACAAGAACTGAAAAGGTTGTTTTCCATGATGTGATCTCAGAGCTTCGCAACACAGAGGAAATATGATAAGAAAAATTTTAAATGTCAACTGTAATTTTATCTGAGGAACGAATGCCATTTCAGAAGACTGTTTTTCTTCACCATTCTTTACCATACGCTACAGATTAAACTTTTCCCCTCCAAATTTGCATATCGAATCCCCAGTTCCCAAGTATGACCTGTTAGGAGAGAAGAACTTAAAGGAGAAAACAGCGTATCCGCTTTGGAGGCTGGTGAGGAGGGCTAGTCTCAGGAGGGCTGGCCATGCAGCTCAGTGGAGAGAAAACTGGCCTGGCGGGTGGCCTAGGGTTTGATCCTCAGTGCCTCAAAAAGGGGGTGGAGAGAAATGGAGAGGGGCTGGGGAGGAGAGGACAGTAGAGGAAAGGTCCTGTGAGGATAGAGGTCAGAGCGAGGAGACAGGCACTTCCAGAAACCGCCCTACCGGCCCCTTCATCTTGGACTTCAGTCTCTGAAAGTATGATTAAGCAAATTGTAATCCGATGAGTCTGTGGTGTTCTGTGTGTACCTGAACTCTCTATAAAAACATTTAGTACTCTAAAAGCCCGGAACGGAAAGAATTACAAAACACACACACCCATACTAGTGTCTACTGTTTCATAGTATTTCCCACATATCTGCATTAAGTTTAAAAGTCTACAGGACAATCCTAGAGGGAACTGTACTCTGTCCTAGCATTGTACTCTACTTATGAAACAAGAACAAAAATCTTAATTTCATTTTCCAGACCCCCAGCAAAACCATAATCAGATGAATTCAGAATATTAAAGGCTGACCAAAATGTCATAGTTGAGCTGAAATGTCACATAGGATTTTTAATGTAAGGAGCTTACGTGGTTATAGACGATGACACCTAAGCTGTCTGTGTATATTTAGATCAGCCCATTGCTAAAGAGAACACGCTTTGCCTGACATGATTAAGTAAACCCCAACAGGCTTTCGTTAACATTTTACAAGGCAAAGTCATTTCTATGAAACAAAAACTGTATTATTATCAGAACATTTCTTAATAGACTTATTAACATAGCAATGTCCACAATATTGATTCAGTCAGACAGAACAAGATTCCCCACAGGAAGCAAATCTACACGGCAAGCTCATAAACAACGCGGCCATCATAAAGACATCCCACAACTCTCTGGATAATTGTAGTTTTATAACTAGCTTACAGATAGCCCATCTTTCCCTCCACAGTTGACCACTGTCCCAATGCCACCCGAGTAAAAACACCACCACCTACAAAATGTGCCTTCTACTTACGGACTTAATGCTCAGCTGTATGGCTAGCTGGCTGCCAGCCAAAACACATAACCTTTGCCCTAGTACACAATCACTTGGCAATAAAGCAGTTATTTAAAAAAATATTTAAAAAGAGGAAAGTTTCACTTAATCAGCCAAACTTAATTCATGTAAAACTAGACTTACTGGTGACAAATCTGAAAGCCGTCTTTAATTCAATGGTCCTTCTTCACAATCTTCACCTTAGGGATTTTATTTCTGCACTGAACGCCAGGATAACACGTGTATAATCCTTTTGGTTGGATCGCATACTAAAATGAAACCAAAGTCACCTGTTAGTCACATGTAAAACTCCAAACTGTTGATAAGAATCCCTCACTGAGAAGTCATATGTTTCCTGATTCATGTTTAGACTCTAAGCTTTAACATATTTATCATTTAATCGTTAATAAAATACCATTTGATAGGGGAATATCCTATTCACAACAACTTCAAAATAAATAACTAAAATGCCTAAGAGCAAACCTAATGAGGGAACTAAAGCTGAATGAACTCTACTGTTGTGGGAGGTCCTTCTGTGTGCTGTGAGTGTGTGCTCCTCCCATTGGCTAACAAGGAACCTGCTTTGGCCTATGGCAGGATAGACTAGATAGGCGGGAAATGCAAAGAGAAAGTCGGGGGGAGAGAGAGAGCAGGGTCATGTGAGATGCCATCGAGTAGCCCAAAAAACAATATGCTAGAACACCCGAGGTAACGCCATTTCATTAGAAATGGGTTGATTTTTAAGTGAGAGCTAGCCAGTAATAGCCAAAGCCGAAGTAATATAATATCAATTATATTAATATTAGCCTCTGAGCGATTGATTATTCTATAAGTGGTTGTGGGGACCAGAGGGTGGGAGAGATACAGTCCAGTGGCCCGGGTGAGACAGAGGAAGCTTCCAGCTATTTGCTACAATAAAATTCCTCCAACCCTAGAAGATGCAAAGACTGCTCACGCTCATGGATAGCGATGGTGGGGAGATCAGACGCTTAAAAGAAATCCCACACTAGCTCAGAACTGAGAGACAGAGAGTTATTTATTTAGGGGGAAAACTTACAAATCAGGATTCTCTGCTTGATGGTGGATGGAGATGGGATCCAAAACAATCCGAACGAGCGAGCAAAAGGAAGCTGGGGTAAGAGGAGTGGGAGGGGGGCAACTCTGCAAGGGCGTCCAGGTATATAGTGTAAGAGGCCACGCCCCGGTAGGCGGGTAATTACTAGCTGTAAACCTTCCTGCAGCAGTTAGGTGGAGCTAAATGTGAAAATGGCTATGTTGCCAAAAATGCCCTACAAATTCAATGTACTCCCATCCAAAGCCCAATGGTTTCTCCACAGAATTAGGTAAAAGTCCTAAGATCCCTAGAGCAACACATCATTAAAGTAAAAAAGAGAAATGTTGGAGGTATCATAATATCCAATCTTAAATTATGTCACAGAGCCATAACAGTAAGCAGTGTTTTGTGAGCACAAAAGCAGACATGCAGACCAATGCCTACAACAGATAACCTAGGATTAAACTCACAGTTACTACACAACTTGGAGAAAAGAGTCTCTTCAGTAAACGGTGCTGAGCTGGAAGGGGGTGATGTACACCTTTAAGCTCAGCACTTGGGTGGCGGTGGGAGGCAGGTCGTCGAGTTCGAGGCCAGTCTGGTTCACAGAGCAAGTTCCAAGACAGCCAGCATTACCCGGAGAAACCCTGTCTCGAAAAATAAATAAATAAATAAATAAACAAAAAATAGCAACGAGAAAACTGGATTTCCACAAGCAAACAGATGAAACTAGATCCATATTTTTCAGTCCACATAAAAATCAATTCAAAGTTGATCAAAACCCTTAATATAAGACTTTAAACCTTTAAATTGCTAGAGGAAATCAGATGTAGGCAGAGGAAAGGATATTCTGAACTGGACTACACAAGAAATAAACCCAAGAACTGACAAATTGGATTACCTGGAATTAATCCAATTAATCAATTATTAATTAATGACATTAAATTAAGGGGCTTCTGCACAGGCAAGGAAAGAATCGCCACTCATCAAGCAGGCATGCCATCCCATACCCCACAGAGGAAGACAGCCTCACTGGGATTCCAGCCAGATTCTTCTGCATAGAGCTTTCAGCCTTGGTTGTATGTCTCAGCACTTGCTGAAGGGGCTATGTAACCACTGACGTTGCAAAAAGATGTTCTATCTCTCATACAAGGTAAGGAAAGATGACCATGTTAAGATTCCCCCTGTGGCCGCTCCAGATCCTGATGGCTCAGCCATATCTTATGACCCGTAGCAAAAAATATATAAGCACCCGTGGTGCAGTCCAGGGGTGTTGATCGGGTTCATTTTCTCTGCCATTGAAAGAACTAAATAAAAAACAGGAAAACGGGCGGCGGCAGAGAAATGTCAAGCACTGCCAACAGAATCAGCAGTTGAAGGAAGGTGTTTATTGGGGGTGAGGAGACACACCTGCAGCAGACACGCAGAGAAAAGACCCTCTGCAAAGCAGGTGGGGGGCACTCAGCAAAAAAAAAAAAAAAAATCCTGTCTCTTCCCAAGGGTTGTGGGTTTTAAAGTTTCTCAAGAGCTTTCCTCTCCTAATTCAGGGTTGGTCAGATTGGTCCAGAACTGTGTGTAACGTATCCTGAGCAGGCCTTGATCTTGTTGAACAAGTTCATCAGTTGTTTGAGGCTATCGGGCTTTTGTCTCACATCAGGAAGGTGAGGAAGAAGCTGGCCATCTTAGAAATTCACCACCTTTCTTTATTACCTTAGTCATGGCTCCTCTTCCTGTCTGTCTACCTAACAGACTCTAACCTGCTAGTCTCTCACTAGCATAGCAAAAAGGCACATTCACATATGCCCTGTGGAAAAGGAACCTCCTCCACGGACACTTCCCCTCAGGTTGCTCAGCTTCGGTTGCATGCCTGGCTACCCCCTTGCCAGGACCATGCCATCATGCCTCCCCACCTCATCTTTGGTTCTGTCAGGTTACTGTTTGGTAAAAAGTGTGACTGACATTTCCTGGAAAGGCACAACCCAATAGTCCAAGACAACAATCAATGAGTTGGACTTTTTGTGTGCTTGTTTGTTTACTGAGGTTGCCAGCAGGAGTACAGGTGAGGGGTGATTTACAAGAATCAGGGAGGACTCAGGAGCAGCTGCATCACCAGGAGGCCCACCCCAGCGGGGATGATGGCCCCGGCCTGCTAAACCACAGAGAAAGAGTTGAGAGTGCAGAGCTAGCAGCAAGCTACGCAGAGAGCCCCAGAGTTGCAGTTTTCACCCATACTGGCTATCAATGCATATTATTAGAATGAAACCAGCTGATACGAATGACTTGGCTTACCCCAAGTCCTCTTCCCAGGATATATTGTGCATCACAAAATGGCATGTGATAATTTCAATAACACTTTTCAAATTAAGCTCATTCTTGAGACCCAGAACAGAAACTTATCCCACATAGCAAAAAAAAAAAAAAATTCAACTCCTTGGAAATATTGAGCTATCAATTTGCGAATGGATTTCTTCTGCAAAGAACGAATGATTAAAAATGACTATCCTAAAGTCAGACCGAAGTATCAAAAGTGTTCATTTCTCAATTATTTCTAAAAAGAGTAGGCTAAGGTAGTGGACATGCTCTTTATCTCTTTGGTTATACACATTGCTGGAGAGCATAGAATCCGGGCATTTTCTCGTAGGTAACTTATAACTCAAGTTCTTAAAGTGGGAAATAATAGTTGATACTTGTCGATTGGAAGATACTTCACTACAGAGAAAAAAGTCACTTTCACCTTGGATACAAAAGCAACTTATTTCCCTGGGCAAGTGGGTAGGATAGAGAGGAAGATAGGCAGGCTCCTCCAATCTCCACAAATGGGATCACGCGTTGATGCAAAACACGGAGAGAGAGAGACCCAAACACAGAACTGGGTTCTCCCAAACTCCGTTTTACATTTATAAAATGGGGATAAATTGTGGCGGATAAAGTGTTAGGGTTCACATGGGATTTTAAGAGTTGAGGGTTGACAGGGACTGGAGAGATTAGCTCAGCTGGTAAAGAGCTTGCCTGGTAAGAACGATGACCTGAGCTTGATCCCACAGAACCTACATAAAAATGTGGGGCATGGTGTCATATTTTTATTAATACCTGTAGTGGGGAGACAGGAATTCCTGAGGCCTGTGAACAGCTGGCCAGTCTAGCCTAGGTGGCGACTCCGGGCTGGTGAGGAGTAGATGGACGTCCAGAGAATGACACCTGAAGTTGTCTTCTGGCCTCTACGGGTATGCACGCAAACGTGTGTGTGTGTGTGTGTGTGTGTGTGTGTGTGTGTGTGTGTGTGTGTGTGTGTGTGTGTGTGTGTGAATGTGTGCTTTGAAGATTAAAAAGATTATTGGGGCGGCTCTTGGCAAGAAGCACTCAGGTAGGAATGCTCGGTGGACATCGGTTCCACCATTTATTATGAAAGGTACGTTATTCTTCAATTGCACACCCTGCCACTGCCGAAGACCTGGCCTGCCATTCCTTCCTGGGTTAGGACTCAGTAACTAGCCCCATACCTGCCAACCCTTATTTCCCTCACAGGTTAACTTTCCAATGAACTAAATGCCATGAAGATGCCAGACACCAGCTCCGCGACAGAGGCTCCGAGAGCTGCTCAGGCCCCGCCAGGCCTCATCAGGCCACCTCAGCCCACAGCCACCCGGAACGATCACTCGCCGCCGCCAGTCAGGCCGGGCCCGTCACGAGACGGAGGCCCCGCCCCCGCCAGTCGGCTCGGGGCCGCCTCCCGCGGTGTCACGTGACCGCCGCCCTACCCAAGGGGCCTGGGGCTCGCCGTGCACGGAGGGACTGGGAATCTAGTCGCCGGCCGGCTTGAAGATGGCCACCGCTCTGCAGCGCATCGAGCGGCTGTCCAGTCGGGTGGTGCGCGTGTTGGGCTGTAACCCGGGTCCCATGACCCTGCAAGGCACCAACACGTACTTGGTGGGGACCGGCAGCAGGTAAACGCCCCCTTCCCCGCAGCCAGCGCGCTCCCCGAGCTCCGCGGACGACGGAGCCTGAGCAAAGCACAGACTTCACGCTGCTGATTCACGGTTTGCTTGCTCTCTGGCTGCCCGCTGGGTGCCCGTGTTGAACTGGGATTTCCTGGAGTTAGTTTACGAGAGTCGGTGTGTTGGTGCACGCCTGCAAACCAGGGTTTGAAATGCACAGGCAGGAAGGTTCACAGGCAGGATGGCCACAAGTTCGAGGCCATCCCGGTCTACATAGCCATTTTCAGACTTGGTAGAGTCATATAGCAAGGCCCTTACCCCCGTGCCCCAAAAGTTTACAGTATTTGCTTCTCTGTTTATATTTTACCCAGAGCCTTCCTTCCTGAAATCTGTGACAGTGCTGAAGCCATTTTCTTACAGTAAAGGGCAGAATTTTACTTCCAAAATTCAACCCAAGTCTGTAAAACTGAAAGAGCAACCCAGCCCATAAGTAGGAGAAACTAACTCCCTTTACTTTTATTTCTAATAGCGTATGGCAAGCAGAGCTTGTTTACATCTGAAGTCTCTGCTATATTTACCCTTCTCGAGTAAAAGAGGTCGACCAGCAACTGACTGTAAAGAAATGGAAGTATTTCAAGCAGTCAAAAGGTTAAGCCTAGAGTAAACAAGGCCAGAGTCAAGTACAGGTCGTTTGGACTTCCTGCACTCTTGTGAGGGTTAGAAAACGAAGCATCAGAGAGTCCGAGCTGGGCTGTCCTCAGCCCAGTGAGTTCCCGGACATTCTCTTCGGTGTGTTATTTAAAACCCGTCCTGAAGTCAGTACCTAAGATCTAAATGGCAGATAGTTCCAATCACCCCAGAGAGTTCCTTAGGAGAGCATCCTGTGGGAAATCGGTGGATTGATCCCAGTAAATTCAACACAACCCGCTTTTCTTCGTGGGCTAAAATAGTGGCTGATTTTATATGAAAACCAGATGAAAGAAGTTGGTTTGCATTTAGAGACTAAACTGTGTGCAAAATACATACGGTACCCTTAAACTCTCAGTCACACTCAGTGTAACACAAATGCTTCTGCTAAGAGAGACATAAACCGAAGCTAACTGATGGAGAGCGGATCCATAGTCTCCCATCTTAAGCAGCTTAACAGTGACGAAGAATGATGCCCAGTGGGATCACTCGAGCTTTTTACATTATAATTTTATTTCTGTGGGTTATTTAAGTAATAAGTAAAGCTAACATAATTAACGTGCAGATGACGCTGTTCATCGTAAACTGAAGGGTAACTAGATAGAGAAGTTAACTGGGTCCAAGTTAGGTGTTCCAAGATTTGTGTCCGCTGTTCCACTTCACAAAAAGCTCTAAGGTTATAGGTGGCCTCTGTATCAGTGAACTCAATACCATTTTTATATTTCCATTTCCGCTAACTTTGAGACCCATTCACCAGTCCCTCCTGGATTTGCTGATGCTGCATCCTCTCGCTGCTTTTCTTGCTTTTTTTTTTATCAGAACTTCACACTCCTCTAACTGCAACCCTAACTCCATTTTTAAAACTACACGTATTTGTGTATTGTCTTTGTTTGTACATGTGTGGACTCACACACCATGGTTGGAATATTGATATTGGAAGATAATGGTTCTTTCCTCTCAAGCTGTTATCCCGAGAATCCCACTCAGGTTGTCAGAGTTGGGAGCAAACACCCTCACCTATCCTAGCCTCTCGTGATGATTAATCATGACGGTCAACTTTACTGAATTCAGAGTCACCTAGAATGCACACTTTTGGGAAGGACTTCAAGAGTGGTGTAACCAAGGTAGAGCAAGCCCTCCCCTGAATAGCAAAAATATACCATGTACTCAAGTTCTAAACTGAATTCAAGAAAGAAAAAACAAGTAGATCACCAAGTATTCTGCTCGCTCTCTCTCTCTCTCTCTCTCTCTCTCTCTCTCTCTCTCTCTTTCTCTCTTTCTTTCTCTCTCTGGCTATGCACAAAATATGACCAGCTGCCACTCCTGCTGCCTGAGCTAGAATGGCTCTTGCCCTCACATCTTCCCTTCCATGATGGCCTGTGTCCTCAAACTGAAACAGATAAATCCTTCCTTCCTTCATTTCTGCTGGGCATTGTGTCACAGCAATGACAGAAGTAACTTATACATGCTCGTATTGGTTCACTATTGTTCAGGTGATCTCACCTGCTTCCTTGGTGTCGCCTAGCATCTGCTTATTAATAACACTCACATTTAAACAAAAGCCCAGCTTCATCAGACTCATAGTTGGATGTATTCTTTTTTTTAAATATTTATTTATTTATTATGTATACAATATTCTGTCTGTGTGTATGCCTGCAGGCCAGAAGAGGGCACCAGACCCCATTACAGATGGTTGTGAGCCACCATGTGGTTGCTGGGAATTGAACTCAGGACCTTTGGAAGAGCAGGCAATGCTCTTAACCACTGAGCCATCTCTCCAGCCCCCTGGATGTATTCTTAAATCTCCTGCATTATCAGTTTTTCAAGATGAGCTCATCTTTCCTATTAAAGTTAAGCCCAAGCCCTTGAATTGGTGGTCCCTGTCATTCTAAACAGAACCATCCATGGATATGATCAAACAAAATGCTTGAACACTCTCACTAACATTTCCCTCCTCCTGGCACACATCTAAGCCATCTTGGAAATCTGTGATTATTATCAGCCAGTTCCATTCTGCGTAGACATCTGTATTAGCCTGCTGCCTGGCTTCTCTGCCTCTACTTCTGTCCCTCAGTCCATCCATTCCCTCAATGTAGCCATCTTACTCACCTTAGAAGGCTCTGGTCCAGCAATGCTGACCTTCCTGGCATCCCAGATGAGGCATCTTTCTCCCTCCAGGCTGTGGATTATGCTTTCTTCCTTTTCTACAATGCCATCCCATTGTAACACAGCCGGGATTTATTTCTGGATTCCAGCAGTCTTGTACAGCAGTGGGAGTATTGTGAATACTTCCAGAGTATTTGTTACATTTTTCTCTTAACTTTTGTTTTTTTTTTTAATTCTTTTAATTCAGCCCATTATGGGTGGTTCCATTCCTGAGATGAGTTTGGCGGTTCCCTTTCAGTTTGAGAAGCACTGATGTTAACTGCACTTTAAAGGTTTAGTAGAGTTTACTTAGTAGATGTGTCCATTGCTAGGCTGACATTTCTTTGTTACGGATGTAGGCAAGAATGTGTCTATTTCTTCTAGAGAACCTATGGGTTATTTGGTTATGTTTTTGGTTTGGGGTTTGGGATTTTTGTTTTGTTGATCCTCTGAATTTTACTGGGTTCTATTCTACTCAGGAAATCTATTATTTTCTGTACTTTCAGCACTGAAACTCCTGATTCCTCCTCTGTTTAGGATTTTTTTTTTTTTTATTTTCTGCAGAGCTGGCTTGGCAGTCGTGAACGTCCTTAGTTTATGGAGGTTGTCCTTGCTTGACTGGTTAGTGATGGCATCTCTGAGCCCGGGACCTGCAGTAGTACCAAATTTTCTGCTTCCCCTAGAAGAACAATGAAAGGTATCTATAGATAGATTTTTTTTTCCCTTTGGGCCGCCAGTTCACAAATAACGACATGGAAACTTATTATTAACTATGAAAGCTCAGCCGATAGCTTAGGCTTGTTTCTCGCTGGCTCTTATAACTTAAATTAATCCATTTCTATTCATATACATGTTGCACATGACTTACGACTTTTACCTTCTTCCTGCATGTCTGTTCCCTCTGTGTCTGGTTGGTGACTCTACTTTCTTCTTCCCAGAGCTCTCTCTGTCCAGAAGTCCCTGCTATTCCTCCTGCCTAGCTATTGGTCGTTTAGCTTTTTATTTAACCAGCCACAGTGACACATCTTCACATAGTGTAAAGAAATATCCCACAACATTTCTCCCCTTTGTCTAAATAAAAAAGAAAGGTTTTAACTCTAACACAGTAAAACTATATACAATAAGAACAATTATCAGGTAAGAATTGCATTCACAATTACAATGTTCAGTCCTTTTGTATTTGGCAAACTTAAAGAAAATATTCCATTATCTTTTTATACTCTGTGAAGATGTGTTACTCTGATTAATGAAAAGCTAAATGGCCAAGCGCTAGGTAGGATTTCTGGGCAGAGGAGATGCTGAGAAGAAGGCAGAGTCAGCAGCCAGACACGGGATAACTAGGGTGCACATAATGGAGGTGTGAGGTAACAAGTATGTGAAAGAATGTAGATTTAAAAATTTGGGCTAATTTAAGTTATAAATCCTAGTTAGAAACAAGCCTAAGCTATCGGCCAAGCTTTCATAATTAATGATAAGTTCCCATGTCATTTTTTTGTGAGCTGGTGGCCCAAAGAAAAGCCCAACTATATACGGGTACCCTCCTTCATCTCAAAGGAGGAGTGGAGGCATCAGTAATGACAAGTTCCTTGGAGTGTCTGCTGGTCACATGTAGATTTCCAGTCTAGATTCCTCTTTTGTTTGCACTAGAGCCAGTGATGGGGGTTCTTCATTCAGGGCTCTTAAGTTGGGAGCCTGTTGTTTCCTTTGTAAAGCTAACATTCGGTTATTTCTGGACGTCTTTTTTTTTTTTTCTGTTACTGGGGCCCTCTCTTGCCTTTCCACGTTTGCATCTCACTCTGCAGGCACAGGCTGGGCGTTTTCTTTGGTGGGGACACAGGTAAGTGTAATCTGTCTGTGTTTAACCGTCTTCTTTCCCATCAAAGACCGTTTCTCTTCCTGCTGTCTGTCATCATCGTCATCATCATCATCATTACTATTATTACATTTCTCTCTTCATCCCCGAACCTTTCTCTGTGGCCTCCCTCACTCTCCTTCAAATTCATGACCTCTTTTTTTCACCAATTGCTATAGCATATGTATACGTACACACACACATTCCTAAATATGACCTGTTCCTATTGTGTAATATTCTTGTGTTTTCAGGCTGCTTGGCATTGGACAACCAACTGATGTTCTCTCCCTGGGGAAGCCCACCTCTCCCACTCCCAGCTCTCCTCATTTGCCTATCGTTCTTATATAGGGTTGAGGCCTCGTGGGCTTTTCTCCATCCACTTTGTTGTGTCTATTGGCGTCATCCCTGTTTAGCCCACATTTGGGCAGTTATGTGCGTGAGGCTGTATGGATGTAGTTTCTGATGTTACTAGGAGACAATCTCATAGCAAACTCCCAGGTCCTCTGGCAATTACAATCTTTCTGCCCCCTCTTCCACAGTATTGCCTGAGCTTTAGGTATGGGAGTGTCTTGTAGATGCGTCCATGAGTACTGGGCTCTACAACTCTGTGTTTTGATTGGTTGTGGGTTTTTTTTTTTTAAGTGGTCTCCATCTGTTGCAAAGAGAACTTTCCATGGCGGGAGCTGGTGAGGGTGTTTATCTGTGGATATCAGCCTGTTCAACAAGAAGGAAACTATACCTGGTACTGTAAACCTAGCCAGCTATTCAGTGCCAGCGAGCAGTTATTAAGGGGAATCTATGGCCTCTAATTTAGTAAGCCAGCATGATCCTAACGATAGTCTATAAATGTCTCCTTTCACCCACAGAGAAGACAGCGTTACTCTAAGGGTGCTGTTAAGTCAAATTTTATGAGATACTTGAAGAATTTGTAAGCCAGCTGGAAGTCAGAGTAGATAAGAACACATACTCTGGAACCAGAAAAACCGGAGTTTGAATGCTGATTCTACCGGTTTATTGCAGAGTGACTACACCAGGCAGGTTGTCCAACTTCTGACTGTAATGACAAAATGCCCGCCTTAGGAACGCAGGGCTCCAGATCCCTTCTGACAGCCCTGGTTCACATTTACATCTAGCTGTAATTCTGTTCTAAGAACTCTCTCTCAGTAAGATTACTTCAAACTGAAGTGATATGTTAAAGACAAAAATGTATATTTTCTCAAATTTAATGCAAGTTATCTGTGTAAAAAATAAGCTAATGTGAACTCCAGGTTCCAATCGTGATTGTCTTCCATGTCGTTTGCAGGAGAATCCTCATTGACACTGGAGAGCCATCAGTTCCAGAATATATCAGCTGTTTGAAGCAAGCCTTGGTGGAGTTTGACACCGCAATCCAAGAAATCCTAGTGACTCATTGGCATCGCGATCATTCCGGAGGCATAGTAGATATTTGTGAAAATATCAGTAATGGTAAGCAGAAAACATTAAGCTCACTGAGGAAGGTTATGCTTGAGAAATAATTTAAGTTCTCACCTATGTTGATATTTAATTTTTTCTTAAGTTGATATGACTTGAATACTGTCAACTTTAGCAGAGGTGACATGGAAGGCTGCTTTCTCTCAAATCCTCTCTCTTCCTTTGCCCCAGTGGTAAAGCTGAGCTTCAGTTTAGTCTGGGTGACAGCTACAGGTCCAGACACAGGAACCAACCACCGTTCCGCATCTCCTGTAGTCAGGCGCTGCACCGAGCGCTTGCCGTGGCCACGGCAAGGTTGTCGCTGCTGTTGTCTGTTCCCAGCAGATCGTCAGGCCTTAAGAACTTGAAGACGGTTGCTAAGATCTATGGAGATCTGGGCGACACAGCAGCGTATCGACCATTTCCTCCCCCAAACCTGGGTAGTACTGAGAGTTTACCTGTTCTATACCCTACTACCACGTCCCTAGATTGAGACATTCGGGTGCCCACTACGGAGCAGGGACTGTGAACAAAGTGACTATGTTTGTCAGGGAGCTTTCATTCTACAGACTGACCCGCCCTCGTCCAAAGTACACCAGCCTGCTGCCGCAGGTGACAAATGCCAGACTGGAACCCACGTGACAGGTGACACCCTGAGAGCGTTGCATAACACTGCCTTTGCGATTACTCTAAGAGAGCCATAGTTTTAGGTTCCATATGAAATAACAAATACCTGTATAATTGCCATTTAGTTGATATAAAGAAAGTAGAAGAGAAATTTGACACAACTTTTTATAGCTGCTAACATTTTTATGCTGTCTTGAGAAAGATCTTGTCCACCCTTCTGGGCACGACTGAAGCCGCACAGGCTGTGCAGAAGCGGGCTGGTTGGCACTGAAATGGTCCCATGATGCTCTGCGGCATCCTCCTGTTTTTTTCTCCTCCAGGTCCTCAGTCACTGCAGTCCTATTCCCTTCGGCTGTACTGTAGTTTGCCCTGCTCCGTATTGCTTTACTCTTCAGTTACCAATAGGGCAGATATGGTCAAGTAGTTTTCAGTGCTGGCTACCAGTATTTGTTTTTTAGCTACATGTATTTTATAGGCCATAAGTGCCATTTATACAATTTCTTGGGCAAGACAGAGTAAAAATCTGATGACAGATTTTTTTTTTTTTTTCAAAAACAACCAGTTTAGAGCAGGAGATTTGGCTCAGTGGTTGAGTGTGCCCTGCCCTTCCAGAGGCCCTGAGTTCAGTTCTCAGCGCACTCATAACCACCTATAAAAGTCCAGCTCCAAGTGCTCAGAGGCTGTCTCTGGCTTTATGAGCACTGTACATGTGTGCCATACATTCACACAGACACACACATACACACATGATAAAAACAAAACAAACCTTTAAATTAAAAAGAATTAGTATGGGCCACACTTTAATCACAGCACTCCGGAGACAGAGGCAGGCGGATCTTTGCATTTGAGGCCACCCAGGTCTACAGAGCGAGTTCTAGAATGGCCAGGGCTACACAGAGAAACCCTGTCCAGGAACAACAAGATAAAAACGAAACAAAAACCCCCGACAGTAACTTGTCAATGTGTGTCTCCTCTGTTTCCAGCACCATTGCCCTGACCTGTGTATCCTCCTGTTAGACTGTTACAGTCATCCCTTCAGGTTCTGCTCCACCTTCCCCCTACCTTCACCACTTCCAGCTGCCACACTGACCTGTTACTACTGTCACAGTATCGTATTAAAGACTGAACGGTGGCCAAGGTTGAACTCCCCTGTCCTGTCAGCTCGTCTTGCCTGTAGAACTCTTATCCATTCTTCCCAGCAGTATGCTGCACGACAAGACAGTCACGCTGTGACACACCCACAGCCCACCCACTCCACTCTCGTCTCCACACCTCTCCTGTACCTCTACCATCCCACTCACCCTGTGTATCATAGCTCAGCTTCGGTCCCAGCCCTGAATCCCGTCTCAGTAGCCCATTCTTTGCCCTGCTGTTGCTTTTCCTAGCAGGGCTGTCTCTTCGGGATTCCAGCCGTCTTCACTATAGTGACAGGGGTCTTTGTCCCCTGTGAACGATTCATTGCCCAGCTATGTCAGGTTTCAAGAACTTTTGTTCACTGTACTCGCTGTCCTGGTTCAATGATTGATGCTGCGGATTAGTAAAGTATTGATTTCCTGTCTACCAGTGAGAGTCGCGTGAGTTAAATTTATCTTAAAGGTTTACTGTCTTAGCCTCCAGGGCCCCTCCCAGCACTAACAGCACAGGGGGTCTTATTATGAGCTCCTGCCGTGACTCTCTTGCTGTTAAGTGGGCGCCTACATAGAGAAAAGTGCTCACGTTCCAGCAAACTGTCTCCTCATCACCTCCCTGGGGTCCAATGCTAGCTGAGATTCTGGAGAACTACTTTGGAATCTCTGCACAGAATAGGAATGACTAGAAAAATCACAGAGGCTTTTATGTGACCTGCAGGGGCATGGGAGAATAAAACGCTCTGGGAAAAGGTAAACGAGTTTCCTCTGTGCGCACAGTTTCAATCTTCCTGTTTCCCTGTTGTCTTAGTGCCGGTGTTTTATGTAGCCGTTAGTGGGTGTTGCCTGTACGAACGCTGATCTCCTCAAAAAACCGAGTCATTTAGAGTGTAACTTAATATATTTACATGTTTCATGACCAGACACCACCTATTGCATTAAAAAACTTCCACGGACTCCTCGGAAAGAAGAAATTATAGGAAATGGAGAGCAGCAATACGTTTATATAGAAAATGGAGAATTGATCAAGACTGAGGGAGCCACTCTCAGGTAAGTAAATGTTCCTTAGGATAAGTGAGGGGCCGGTGTGTATGTGTTGTAAAGAGGGGTGAAGGCAGTTAGGTATATTTGATGTGTGAAGGATCGTGAATTTGACACATTTAATGCTCTCAGGAAAGAGAGAGGGCTTGCTTGCCAAACCAGAAAAGGAAGACGTTTCTGTCTACTCTCTTTGGGTTTCCCTTGTTTTTAAATTCATACCACTGTTCTACACAAATACAAATTGAAAAAATTAGGCCGAGACATGATAGCTCACAGACATGGGAGGCTGATGCAGGACATTTGCCATGAATTCAAGGCCAATTTATGCTACCTGTTAAGTTCCAGGTCCGCCTGGGCTACAGTGTGAGTGAGGCCCTGTCTCCAAAAGTAAGTTTATATATTTAAAAGTTAGCATTTCCCCCTTAGGTGGTTGAGGGACCTACCTGAACTTCAATGCAGGACCTTCCCAGTGTTCTCATCTTGAGAAAGAGACCCAGACCTGTTTGAAATACTTTGGGGCAGACCCACGACCCTTCATGGCCTGTGTCTGGAATAAAGCATTTCCAACGCTGATATTTTGAACCTGAACTAGTGGTAGTTCTCAGTCTCCTAGAATCTGTTCTTGCCTTGCAATTTTAGGACATCGCTGTGGTCTGCACAAGGGATGGTACCCAGGGTCCCCTTGCGATCTCAGCACATCCCTGTGGTCTGCACAAGGGATGGTACCCAGGGTCCCCTTGTGATCTCAGCACATCCCTGTGGTCTGCACAAGGGATGGTGACCAGGGTCCCCTTTAACATTGTCACTGCTGTTCACCTTTACCGTTTCCCTGATTCCTCATCACGCTGCCTTAGATTCTGCCTGAAGTGTTTGTCAGAGGCAGTCAGATGCTCAGTGGGTGAAGACATTGGGTGTCAAACTTGCTGGCCTATGTTGAGTCACTCAGACCTCATGATAGAAGGGAAAGAACTGACCCACAAAATCTGTCCTCCCGCCTCCACACACACCACGCCCCCACCCAACCCCACAGATAAATAAATGAAAGTGTAATTTGAGCTGAATTAAAATGAAGCATTTGCTAGTGCTGTTCCCTCTCCGTGTCTTCTGCTGCTGTTTTCTCCCTAGCCATCTCCAGGCCTTCCCCTCTCTAGTTTCCCTTGTACCCATTTCACCGGGACCTTTGATGATCGCCACCAGCTACCATGTCTGCTGTCCTGCAGTTCCACGGTCAAGCCCCAGACCACATTTCTGCTCTTAGCTCCCACTACCCCACTCGCAAGCACCATCAGCCGTATGTGAAGCCTCGGGCATGTCAGAGGCCTGCCCCTCTGGTTATGTCTTCCTGCTGTCTGAGCACTGCTCCTGTCCTCAGACTTAGCTCCCCGGCACACTATTGTTTGCTCAGCTCACACGTTACTGTGAGTACCCTTCCTGAGCAGAACCCACTGCCCCCTCCTCCCGCTCTCTTACAGCTCCTGCTATTTCTTCCGGGCACTGAGCAATGCCACTAGAGTTTGTGTATGTGAGCGGCATCTCCTCCGCTCTGACAGTTTGCAGTAGCAGCGTATGCCAGTTGCCATAGCAAGCTAGCTTAGAAACATAATGGTTCCAACATTAAAACAATGTCTAAGTCACATTAAGTCCAGAAAAGGTTCCTGATTTGTGAGTGGCCTTTAAGGTGTTCAGCAGGACAGTGACTCAGGTTCCTTTGACTTGGTGACTCCTCACTCCTCTGCACTTGGCTGTCAGATCCCCACGCTTAGCTCAGAGCAGCAAATACTAAAGAACACAGAGAAGATGTTGTGTGGAAGGTTTCAGGGGCCAAGGCTTCGGCTCCATGAGCTGTAACTGCAGTCGTGTTCCACACCTGACTGTGTGACGCAGGGACATTAACCCCATGCCAAGGTCCAGGAATTTGTAAAAAAAAAAAAAAAAAAAAAAAAAAAATCCCTGGTATAATTTCTATACCAGCCAGTTAGAGGTAGGTTTCTTAAAATACTCTTGCTCACACACACACAAACACACACACACAAACACACACACACACACACACACACACACGAGATGTGCTCAGTACCACGCCCGTGCCAAGCAACTCCTGGTGCTGCAGGAGAACAACATATAGAACAGATAAACAGGTGCTTGGCTGCATTCTCTCACAATAACTGATTTTCCGTTGCCGTGACAAAACGTATGATCAGAGTGTTAGAGTGTTAGCGTTAGTCCACACGGCAAGGCACAGCCATGCCAGGAGGAGCAGCTGAGTGCCTACATCCTCATCTGCAAACAGAAACAGAAAGGGCTCTACCATCTGTCCTCAAGCAGATGTTTCTGTTGTTGCTCTTTGTTTTCTAAGACAGGATTTCCCTGTGTAGCCCTGAACTGCCCTGGAACTTGCTCTGTAGACCAGGCTGGCCTCAAACTTAGAGATCCATCTGCCTCTGCCTCCCAGGTACTGGGATTAAAGGCGTGTGCCACCATGCTTAGCTTAAATTATTAAAAGCCTTTATAGTTTTAATATTTAATATTAAGGATTTGTCTACTTCTTATTTTTTGGCAAAGGGGAACTCCAACTTATAGTTATTTCATTTTCTTCAATACTGTGATTTAATAGCTAATTTGTCAAAGGTCCTGCAAATTCTAGGAGATGAACTTGTTGGGTTTTGCCATAGGTTCCATGTCTTTCTAGCACTTGTACAGTATTGAAGCACAGTTCCTCTTCTACATTTTACTGGTTCAATGTGTTTCTTATTCTATCCTTTAATATATTATTCACTAATGCTTTGTTTTTGTTTTTGTTTTATTTTTTGTTTTGTTTTGGTTTTGAGAGAGGGTTTCTCTGTGTAGCTTTGGTGCCTGTCCTGGAACCTCCTATAGACCAGGGTGTCCTTGAACTCACAGAGATCCGCCTGCCTCTGCCTCCAGAGTGCTGGGATTAAAGGTGTGCACCAACACCCAGCTGTCACTACTGCTTTGTAACAGTTCTAGTGAGTTGGTAATTTATTAGTCAAGTATCTCCAAAGACACAGAATAGAAATTTGTTAAAAAAAAATTATTTAAAATCAGTAGTGGAGAAGAGCAAGAGAAGCTCCAAGTAAGAGGGACAGAATTAGGGCTGGGAGCCTGTCCAGACAGGATGGAGCAGTTAGAAGGTAGGGGACAGCAGAGGGTCAAGTAAGAGGGACAGAACTCAGGGTCACATCACTACTGTGTCCAACAGAACCAACTGGTAAACTATGCTTACTGGCCCTCTCCTCTGCTCCGGTTTATTGCATGTGGTCTTATTTGGGTAGTTTTCCATGTTACCACTAATTCAACTGTGATGACATGAGTCTTTTAGGGTGTGTAATGTAGCAGGGATTCCCTCCATTACAGCTTCCAAAAGAGCCTTCTGTCTGTGCCTCCTAACTCCTGGTGGGCTTCATGTCCTCTGCACTGGCTTTCCTGCAGGCCTCCAGCCACTGTCAGTGCAGACACACACACATACACACACACACACACAGTCCCACAATCACACTCACTCACTGCAGGTGACTTCACTCTTACCTGAGCTTCCCTTCCTCTGGTTTTCTAACTTACCCCTTTCTTTTGAAAGCTCGTGTCCAGTGGCTCCTGGAAGTGGAGTGAATTGTTGAGGCGTGGCTAGTCTTTTTCATCAGACTGGTTTTGGACCTCCAGCCCCCAAATAATGACACGGAGACTTTATTAATTATGAAGCTTGGCCTTTAGCTTAGGCTTGTTCCCCACTAGCTCTTAGAACTTAAGTTAACCTGTTTCTCTTCATCTGTGTTCTGTCACATGGCTCTTGACCTCCCCTCTATTCTGTGAGTCTGACTCCCTCCATGTTTCAATGGCATCTCCAAGAGACCATTCTTCTGCTCCGCCAAAACAAAGGAAAACAACCAAAACAGAAACACGCGACACAAAGTCCCTACCTGTACTTCCTGGGCATCCCTCTCTCGTTGTCCAGGTGCCCTCTGACTCTCTATGATTACTTTCTGTCAACTAGTTGCTAACTTGGTCTCCTGACTTAAGGTTAATTTTATTTAATTAATGCAAATGTGGACTTGGGGTTCACAGTGTGATTGAATATCCCACGACAGAGACCTTTCATGTCTGACTGTGTCTTTTAAAGTGCAGCCTTAGGCTGAGATGTCACTCATTTGCCTGACATGCACAAGGCCTTGCAAAATTAAACTATAACTTGATTTAAGATATGCTGAATGGCCGGGCAGTGGTGGTACACACCTTTAATCCCAACAGTCAGGAGACAGAAGCAGGCACATCTCTGTGAGTACAAGACCAGCCTACCAGCCTGGTCTACAGAGTGAGTTCCAGGACAGCCAAAGACACACAGAGAAACCCTGTCTCAAAAACAATAAATAAAGATATGCTGGATGAGTTCTAAGTTACAGGTGGATAGAAGTAGGAAGCTTTGGTGTGTTTCTGCCCAGTGAGATGGCTACAGGCAATGCTGATGTACTGTTCAGAAAGCTAGAAGAGCCAGATGGTGGTGGCGCACACCTTTAATTCCAGCACTCAGGAGCAGAGACAGGTGAATCTCTGTGAGTTCCAAGCCAGCCTGGTCTACAAAATGAGTTCCAGGACAGCCACGACTGTTACACAGAGAAACCCTATCTCGAAAAAACTAAAAAAGAAAGAAAGAAAGAAAGGAAACTAGAAGCAAGGATTTTGAATACTTTTACCATAAATTATCAGTGTTTGTAGAAATAGATATGTTTAACCTTATTTAAACATTATATGACATAATATATGTTTTTAAACACTACATGGTATGCCATAAATTAGTACAGCTTTCATATTTTATGTCAATTCAGTTAATTAAAAATGGTTTTGTTTTTATGAGGACCCTAAGAGAGACATACATAGATCTAATCTACATGGGAAGTAGGAAAAGACAAGATCTCCTGAGTAAATTGGGAGCATGGGGACCTTGGAAGAGGGTTGAAGGGGAGGGGAGAGGAGGGGAGGGGAGCAGAGATAAATGT